CAGCTTTTTATTAATAACTAATAATATATATGTCACTCTTTTCAGGGAAAGTATTACATGTTACTGGAACACTTGTCCCAGCTATATCGAATGTTAGTACCCATGCCSCTATGGTTTGCATACTTCACAGACTACAACTATGGGGGYGAATACTTTGCCTTGGTTGCAACTTCTATTTATCTCATATTAAAGGTGAAAAGAAAACTACTTGTTACCAGTATTTTCATGGATAATACAGTTCTAGTATGACATTGATTGACAGATCTTAGAGGAAGTACATGTAGAACCTAGATCGTAACACAATCCGTTAAGTTATAGTTGACATGAAATAAGATAAATTATACACCCAAAAAAGTACTAAGTTACTGTATGTGAATTGTAGATATTATTGAACATTAACTGGGCATTCTTATTCTAACAAGTTGTTAATATATTATCATCAGGGAAGAATGGTTTTTGCAAAAGTCAAAGAAGTATACAGTGGATATCAAACGTTTTGTCGAGATGTGGTAAGTAGAGTTTTTGTCGAGTATTAGTGTAGTATATTTGTTACAAATGATAAGTTGTAGATTATAGCCTGGTGTTGAGTAGTACAGTGCAGTTTATTTGTACATGGAATAAGTGACTTTGTTGTTTTTTCAGCAATATGGAACAGTACCATCAAAACAAGAAATAAATGAAGTTGGAAACTCTTGTCCTATATGTCAAGAAGATCTGACAGATCCAATCATGCTTCGAACTTGTAAGGTAAATTTGGTATCTTTTGTTACTTTAATAAATGAAAATTCTTAAAACTATTTCAGTTGTAAATAATTTACATAAGCCTCATTTATGGTGAAAACTATTTCTAATGATTCAAAATTCCATTTTTTTCMAATGTCCAATATTATTTTGATTACAGCACATCTTTTGTGAAGACTGCATTTCTCTATGGTTTGATCGAGAGCAAACATGCCCTATGTGCCGAGCTAAAGTAGTGGAAGATCCAACATGGCGGGATGGTTCGACTTCTGCTTATGTGCAGATCTTTTAATGCTACTTCAAAAAATAAGAGACAATATGGTAATCCTAGATCTAAATAATAAGAGATAATATGCTGATACTAGAACTAAATGGCTATTAAATGGCTGAAATATATGAATTGTTATGGATGCAGTGGTCAAGGACAGTCAAGAAAGTGGACCAACCTATTGGAGTTTCAATTCAATTTTCTGTTGATGTTTGTTTCCGTTGTCACTTCTTTTTGCACTAGTTGCTAAGAACTATGGATTATTATAATCATAAGTACTTCAAATATCATACCCATATGAGATTACATTGTATACAAAACCTGAATTCTTGGTAATATTCGTACACTTACCCTAGTGTCATCTTACCCTAGAGTACAGAGACAGTGGGAGAGAAAATGTAATCACTTGATCGGGACAACTGACCTTGACTTTTCAGCTGACAGAAGTACTGTCAGGTGCAAGGGTCAGAGTATCCAACGTTTTTCATTTTTGAATTTGTAAGAAAGTCCACTATTAATAATTTATATTTGATGACGTTGTCAAAATCACAAAAAATATAAAAAATAAATGGAGACAGAAGTAAACAATGGAATTAGCCCGAACCAAAGKGTTTCAATGCATGGGKTTTTTTGCACTGTCAAAATCATTTGATTGTCGGGGGTGTAGACAGTACACAAGGGGTAAGGATCGTTGACAATTCAGGGCCGTCGAAAAACAACACATCATAGTCCATCACGTTATTTCTAAAACGTTTACGAAAATACTGCTATTTAAACATTGCAGCCTTCTTAGGTGTATGAAGTATTTAAGGAAAGCCATTGAATGCTGATTTAAGCGATAACATGAACCAGCAAATCAAATGAAAATGATACATTGTATGTGGACTTTTTCATTTTTTGCTGGCTCTGTTTGCTAATTTTTATTATTCTTGCAAAAACTGGGGGGCATGTGCCCCTTTGCCTCAGGGCACTACGGCCTCAGGGCACTACGGCCCTGTACTTAAAATGAAGGTCTTCAGTGATGGATTGTTTAATTTGTTTTATTTATGAAATTAATTTATGTTCCTAATAAGACACCCTTCCTTACATCAGACAATTCAATACATGTCCGTAATATTTATGTGCTAAACTGTTATAATGGATTGCGATAAAAAATAATAAATCAAAAATCAATCAATCAATAATTAAAAAAAAAATCAATAAATGAATCAATAGAATTGAGTAGAATTCAAGTCTATTTTTTCTGCGTGATTTGCAACATTCAATTAGTAGAAAGAAGACGCTGCTTATGAAAGAAACGTTTTATCGACACTTGGATTGTATCTCACCGTGACTAATTATGCGTGGGGTCCTGAGGGCACATTTAAAGAAAAACAGACTAAATCTCTGCCGTTGTGTGATTTTAACAATTGCGATCAATCCATTATGTCTCTCATGATGGAGACGGATTTCATGTTTTCTTTTCAAATGTTGGACAAGTTAGACAATCGTAACTTGTTTTCTCAGCCTGAAGCTCTGAAAGAAGATTTGCATTAATTTCGCATGGAAACAGAATTTACAAAGCGACAGCTGGCGAATAAGAAAAGATTAAGAAAAAAGCCAATTAGCACTAAGTCTTTTTACGAAGAAAAAGATTCTAGTATACATAAAAAAATCTATTGTCGTCACCGAAACTACGTGTTTTAAAACAGTCCACATTGAAATTTTTCGTTATCGTATGTTTCATTATATTTTGTTTGRCGACTCGATTAATATTCACATTTGATTTACGATTAAATGGCTCCGATGGGTATTCTAAGCCGCTGTCCTATTTGCGCAAGCCCCAGTAGAGTAATTGATATAAAGAGAAAGAGACTAGGGAGACCTACTGAAGACGTGGACTTAAACAGATGTCACCTCTTCAAAGCAGTGTCGTAGAATCAAGGAAAACGTCAAAAGCTCTGTGGCAAAGGAGCCACAAGCACCTCCAATTCACCTGAAAAACATGAATCCTATCGTAACAGCAACAGCTGGAACTCTTCTGCGAAGTCCGCTTTCAAGTCCCATTATGGGAAAAAGAAACTCTTGGRCGGATATTAGTCAACTGGGGAAAACAACTTTGACAGTACCTTCAACCGTCAGTCACTCYAGTTGCGGCGATCTTCGTCGAGGAAGCCATGGCAAACGTGAAATGTTTGCGTACTCCGATCGTCTTAAAGAAGATCATMTGAAAATGAAGAAGAAGAAGAAATTGAAAACTGAAACAACAGGTCAAAAGAAAACAAATCAATTGGAAACAARCAAAGAGAAGGAAAATAAAAAGAAATTGAAGGATGTTGCCCAAGAAGWAAAACATCAWAAATCGAAAAAGAAAAGTAAGGACAAGGAGAAATGCRATATAATGTAGATTAAAAACTGCCGGTTAGATGAAAACTGAGGCTCCATAATCGGTGATTATAACTAGAATTTATCTCGCAGCTCCTCTGGACATCTGCTCTTTTTCATCTCTCATTTACGGTGGTTGATGCAACGTTGAATGGTTATATAGTCTATTGCAAATTAATATTTCGACCCAGGATTGAAGTTTAGAGGATAAGTCCACAAAAGCGCAATCAACTCTTCATGGACGCGARAGAAAATCACTATGGTATTACAAAATGATTATATATTAAACTCACACAAAAAAACACTCATATGTCAGCGAAGAACACTTAAAAATACTAACCCAGCAGATCAACCACATACTCTATTTAAACTATGGCAAAGAAGGCAATTAATGTTATCGAATATGAACGTATATACAAGCTGGTGATTTTAACAGTAGAATTTATTCAGAAAATATTTCATCCAAACGATGGAACAGCGGATGTATGGTGTGTATGCAAACAGCTGAACTAGACTGACGTTGCATACTAAATGGCTTCTGTGGCAGACGTGAACACGSAGGATAATGACAAGCTGCATACATAATTATGGTGCACGGCTAGCCAACAACAGCGGGGCTAGTAACAGGGTATCGGGTGATAATGAGGATTACTTTGTGCGTGTGGGCATTCTCTGTCGGGATTTAGATCGRTCTTAGACTGAATCCGGGAGATGGGGAAATGGGAATCGAGTGCCTGAGGGTAACCGCTGGGATAACTTGTTTTACTACTAGTGAGTAAGCTCTTATTTTACTTTGTTCCAACCGCAGAGGCGGATCTTGGCGGGTGGGGTCATTGGTCACCACGTCAGACGGAAATACACAGGAAGCCCATGCTAAGAATAATGCTATTTGTGGGGTATGTGCTCTACAATAACGGCCACTGAATATTTATTTTTTTATTAAGTTGCGATTTAGTGATTTCGAACTGCACTCTGCAAGATCTGAGACAGAACTGGAAAATTATAAAGCCTTACTGAAAAAATACCTTGCATTCTTTTACCTAACATTTTCCTTTCAAACAATATCAAGTACCTGGGATAGTGCCATGCAAATAAATCTTGTTATATGTGAGAGCTTCTTTTACACAAAGAAAATGGACAAACAGGAACACTAGGGAATTCTAAAATATTAGTGTTGATTAGACAATACGACAGGAAAAAAGGAATTTAGKTCAATCTATTTTACAAGCAAACGATTTATATTGACAATAACCCATTCCAAGACAAATATTTTGTACATGTAAAAAAGTACTAGATTATTTTAACAATGTCACATGACTATCTGACTTAATGCTAAATTGACTATATTAATCAAAAAGTATAAATGCATAAATGAATAAGTTAACAAAATTTGAAAAAATAAATTTATTTGTTAAATAAATTAATGAACAAACTTATTTACTGAAAAAAGACAAACAAATCCATTTGTTTGTTAAATAAACAGCTTTATTAGTGTATTACCTCTCTAAACCTTCAGTCATATATTTATAATAGACAATTATCTGGTGAGAATCTTTTTCCTWTTACAACACTCACTCTCAAATCACATAGACCTTTTCTGAGATAGCAGTTTGCATTGCATTTTGGTCTRGATTCGGTACAAACATCTTAAWTGTTCATGCTGCCAAATATGGCATTGTTTGCACTGAAGCTAGACCACAATGCACTATGATTTGTATTTCAGGAAAGGTCTATGATAATAACAACATCAAAGAATTCTAGTGTTTCCTGCTCCTTGCCAGGGTTTTGTGAATTCCCTGTTAGGACATGTTTTTCATTGCAAATCACAATTGAGAATGACTAGAATGATGAAAGGAACCTTTTCCTCTTTGAATAGTAAGGAAAGGAAAACCAACTATGTTTGCTCACACAGGGTGACATTCTGGAATACTCCAGTTTCAAGATCTTATTTGTGCAGCCTCAAAAAGCATGTAATATACTCTTTTATCCAGCAGAGATCCTATTGTAATTCAAAAACTCTGTGTACAAAGAAGACAATAAAAAATTATGCTTAATTGAAGCTAAACTTCCACAAAAGAGAATTCAAAACTGGAGTATTCCAAATACTATCTTCTATAGGAGCAGAATACCCACAATGCATTCTGATTTCCATTGCAAACCATTTTCAAAAACTCCTAAGACTTACCAAACAATGGCCTCTAATCCAGTAACTATGGTAATGACAGTGATTGTGTGTATCAAGCTCAATTTACAAATTAATGCACTTGACTGACAAGACTTGATTTAATATAATGCCTTGTGTATGCGTGAACCAAATTATATGTATATTTATAAATACCCCCAGAAGTGAGCCAGACAGAGAAAACGAAGTAATTTTGAAGCCCCTGAACTTGAGATCTGATGTAGGGTAGTATTTCTTATGTAGCTACTTTTTTACATAAACGAGCCAGAAGACCTGATAGTTGTAAAAGAGAATCAACGCCTTCAACAATTCTCATGTGAGTGAAACCAATTTCCTAAAAAAAAAATTTTAAAAAAAATTAAAAAAACGAAAGTTATATTCAAGACTCTATGGCATTTCCAACTTAAAAAATCACTGATTATTGTTCCATCAGTAGCCTTGTAACAGTTCTCTGCAGTGTATTATATGGAAGCAAGATGACCAATAAGTTTTAAATGCACATTGATGCTTGTATCATTTCAATGTGAAGGTATGGCCAGCACTTCAAACTGGTGCTGGTAACTCTTTGTAATGTTAAATGCTGACTGCACTGTAAATCATTACCATATTAAGGAAGACCTTTATTTTTAAAAAAGAAATGAAAATATTGCCAAAAAAATTGAAATATTACCAAAAAATACAAACCTTGATGAATTCTAGTTTTAAATACTCTGCCAATTCCATAGTTTTACAGACACGAAAGATGATGGATATGATGTCCTGAGGTGAGTAACCCATTTGCCATAAATGTGAAAGGGTTTTGTAGGCGCTGTCGATATCTCCCTTTGAACATGACTTTAACATTTCTTTGATCAGTAAAGGATGTGGCTCATCGCAAACCTAAACAAAAGTATATTATATGAAAAGAAATTGAAAATGTAAAACACAATACTGCCATAATGTTATCATAACTGTCAACCTAAATTTATATATTGTACTTTAGTTATTTGCCAAGAAAAGCCAACAAACAAAACAGATCAAATTTGTCTCTCAATCCGYCTCCTTGATGTCTGGTGTAAGTAGTATATCATGCAACACTACTCTCCACCTGTGAGCATATTGTTATAATTTGACTATTTTGTGACAATGTGACAAACTTATAGAAATCCAAGTGATGGAATCCATGACTAACTCTGCAAGTTTCCTTAGCAAGTTTATGAATATACCTTGAATACACTGTCACTGTTTATCATACCAAAGCCATAATATGTTGATTGAAGGTTATTGATTGCCTGAAAAATAGCGAATATTAAATAAAACAAGGAAGTAAATGAAAAATATATTTAAACAAATAGAGATAAATTATACAAGTTTGTCTTATTTTTAAAACTATGAATGTGGAATCTTTCATTACATATATTGATTTTTGTTGACAATGGGTTAGAATTCCCTTAGAATGACAAACTGCAGACTTTTTTAGCATTACTGGCACTTACTTGACGCATGTCCCCTTGTGCTGTAAATATAATTGCCTCTAATCCATCATCTGTTTTTGGTACCTTCAGAAATCGTGTCATTTAATTTCACCAAATAATCATAATATATCCACATCAAGAAATTATTTGTACATTATAATTATTATATCTATGCATGTCAAAGAGAGTAAATACAAATCTTGGCTGTTCCATAAACATTCAGATTTTTGAAGGGCCTTGGCATATTGTCTAGTTGTGGATTAATTATAAAACTTTGCAAGGTCACGCTCTCCAGAGATTATGATTACCTTTTCTTTGTCACATATCTCTAATAATCTTGTCAGAACCTGACTGTCTGTTAGCTTTGAATACCTCAAAATAGCACATCTTGATTGAATTGCCTCTACAAATACAAATAATATATTAATGCTCTCGTGGCAAGGATAGACAACATAATAATAAGTCACATTGGCAAATAAACTCATCCAAACTTATTCAGCATACAACACTWGATTCACTGTTGATTCATTCAATCTATATACCTATAATCTTTTCTGATGTGTTGCAAGCCAAGGCAAACCTTGTTGTTTTAGAGTATATTTCCATGGTTCTTCTCAATGCYTGTTGAGCACCATCAGTCATACTAAACAGTAGAAATAATTATCATGTTGGGTTCATTAAGAGGTCTAGGTATAATTCCATGCAAAAGCATTCTATAAAAATTATAATATTATTTATCATCATATAAAGATCACTGAAAAATAATATAAAAATAAATATAAAATAAATAATCACAAAACACTAGTTTCCATATGGTGTCTGCTTTAAAAATACCTGTCAGCCTCATCAAGAATTATTATCTTGTGTCGTCCTTTTGGTAAAGTCACCTTTTGTTGAGCAAACATCTTGATTTTATTTCGAACTACATCTATACCTCTAACAAATCAAAAACAAAAATAGTTATGGTTAAGTTAACTGTGAATAATTCAATTTAATTAATAAATTAATTTATTTTGCCATTCTCCACCTTAAAAGAGAGCAGCATATTTATAATTTAATGACTGCTAACTTGTAAAACACTTTATGATCTTTGCATTTCAACATTTTTACAAAGTAGCCTGAGGAATGATGGTGCGTGCACTCCTCTGATTCTGCATTCCTGTCTAGATTTGCAAGGGGCTGCCAACATGCATATTCAATAGCAGACAATGGARAACACAATACCTGTCGTTTGAGGCATTGAGTTCCATGACAGCATCTTTGAATGAGCTTCCGAGCAGTGCTCTTGCTAAACACAGAATACTAGTAGTTTTACCTGAACCAGGTGGGCCCTGAAACATTTACATGCAAAAAATAGATCAATAAAAATGATTTTTTAGGTAGGTGTTACATCATAGACCTAATGACAGTTGAAAATAAAAAAGACTTTCATCATTACTTTATCTTATATTCATACATGTATGATCCAACATGACACGACAGGTTAAGGAATTTTGACTGGTMGATTGTTTTTACTCGACCAATCAAAATCGTCGATTGTCTTTGTTTTTTATTCTCTCGATTTGTACGTCACTGTATGACATGATACTCACAGCAATAATGATGTTAGGTACATTTCCCTGTTCAGAAAATACCTAAAAATAAGTCAAATCGTGTTAGGAAATAAGCTTAAAATAAGATGAAAGAGCGCAACTTCGAAGTTTACCTGAAGTCTTGAGACAGTTTCCTCATTACCAACAATTTCACTGAGCTTTGTTGGACGATATCTCTCAACCCTATAAAGAAAGAGCTATTTGAGTATTACAGATAATTGTTCCAGTAATAGCTAATACTTTTGATWTGCAAGTCWGCAGCTAGAGCAGACATGATGTTGACTTGTCACCAAAAGTAGTCTTACCATGGCAATTCAAACCCTTTGGACAATTTCTTTCCTGGTTTATCACCAGAAGACTTTTTGGTCTCTGCCTCCGGCAAATCCACGTCCATTTTCGCTGTCTGTGAGGTTGATTTCATMWTTTTTTCATCGACTATGTCTGTTTCCATCTGTTCAACGTCCGCCATTTTGTCAATGTCACGTGTGAGCTTTTCCCGCCAAAATTTTCTAGGTCCCAGTTTCTCGTGCGTGTTCAGCATCATACCATAGATTCAATAAAAAGACTGGATAGGAAAGTACGTGACGGGATTTCAGCAATATTCTTCACCCCCGTGATTAGGAAGCATCTGTAGCAAACGTATTAAAGTTATCAGGAGTCCATTACTTCCTAGTATAAATAGATTCCTGAAGTAGCCGAGTACAACGAAGTTCGGAGACCATAGAGTGGCGGTCGATCGAGAGTGAGGGGTTCCCGGTCTGTTTTAATAAAAAACATACTGTTTAAAACCCATCTATTTAAAACTTCTTTGAGTCACTCAAGACAACTTTCAATCTATTCGTTATAAAGACATATGTTAGACTGAAAGCGCTTGCTAAAAACAAATTGACTTTTCCATCGTAAACAACTACGAGGCTGGTCGATTTGAATGRTCTTGAATGCTACTCAAAATATAAAGATCAGAAGTCCGTATTAGGAGAGACAAAACTAAATAATTCTCTATTTCCATATATAGTGCTGTAAACACCAATGTGCATCGGAGGAAATCATGATTCAACAGATCCCAACTGAGTTTGTATATACCACATGGGGATAAGAAATCCGTGTCAAAAGTCACACAACAACTGTCACGTTATTAGCTTTAAACGCTCTTGTCAGATCATCAAATTTATATTTCATTGAAATTGCTCTTGATCTGTAAGCCCTTATGAATACGATGAGCACCAACAGAGATAGGTGTTGTGGTAGTTGTAATCGAAACACGTCATACTAACAATCGTACTAACAAGTTTTCTTGAATCTTCTGATTGCGTGACATACATTTCAATCATACCAATAATATCTTAAATACTTTAGACTTCTTCCAGTTGATTACTTTTTTCGTCGGTTTTTGAGTCAAGATTTTTGTGTATAATTTCAGCAAATAACACTGACAATTTGAAGCAACAGGAGCTGATTGAAATGCAATAGCAAAGTTTTTACATGCAAAAGTTTCAATAATGTTGCGAACGCACGAAGCTTTTTATAACTAATTTATTCRGTGGCTTTGTTCTCTTCTATGCTATCCCATCAGGGGTAAAGCCTAATATTTAGCTTGCAAATTGATTAAACCGTCACATTCAGCTAAGCATCTCAGACGCAAGGAWCGTTTTACTAAAGGTAAGATAAATCGATACATGTATTTGTCCCAATAACAACTTCGTTCTCTACATATTGATATTTTAATTTGTTAGTGATCCTAGTATGAATGAATCAGTTTAGTTTAATTTAGTTTTAGTCATTGAGGGCGTTCACAGATGACTACTTCAACTAGTCAGTTTTATCTTCCTCGAATAGATTGAATCTGAAACCAAGGATCATTCATTGCCCTCCATGTCTATATTGTTATTCRAAGTCGATATGGTATTTTTCAATGTTTCATTGTCGTACGATGATAAGTATTCCCGTCTACCCGTACAAATCCGTCCGACTTCAGGACTTTGTGTACTTCAAACATACAATTTTACCGAGTGCCCCGCCGAGTGCATTATCACATTTTGCTCGTAGACACTGTATGTATTGATAACTATATCAACTATTGATTGCAATAACATGAACCATCGTAATGGCTCTCATTATAACGCGGTATCAGTCAGACCGTCCGCGCTACGCAATTCATAGTCATAGATCGTCCGTTTTGAAACGTTATTAGGAATATGCTCCATCAACAATGCCACTTGTTTAATTTTCCAAGTCGAATCTGACGAGGTCAAAACGGGTGTGGCTTAGCTAACAGAACGGTTACAGGTTTTTGAAAATACAAAGATTTGAGTGAGAATTATAGAATTGAGGCTTGATCAGCCTCCTTTTCAGTGCCAGTTTTAGGTGCAATTCAAATGTTTGTAGCTCAGTTATTTTAATTAGGAAAACAGTGCTTCGCAAATTTACTAATTTCGACAACCTCGATCCCAGGTCYTTTATCTCTTCGGTTGAGGTCGACCCCAACAATCTCGTACCCCGAGCCTTCATTTTCCTGGCCAAGAAAAACACGAGATTGCGACCCCAAGCGAAGGGATAGAGGGCCTGGGAACGAGGTTGCAATTTCGATATAATATTTCTTAGTGATAAAATGACAACATTCTTGATGTTTGTTTGTTTGCAGTAATTCAGAAATGTCAGACAATAAATGCCCAGCATGTAGTAAACCGGTGTACTTTGCGGAGGAGGTTGTCGCATCKGGCTGTAAGTGGCACAAACAATGCTTCAAATGCCAAGTCTGTAATAAACGTTTAGACAGCACAACTTGCTGTGATCGTAAAGGTGAGTGACCCCTCTCTGTCCGCAAATCTATACTATTGAAGGCAAGTTAGATAGATTCATAACCCAGTACATTTTGTTTTTAGGTGAAAATCTCAAAAAAGAGCTATACTGTAGGCACTGTTATGGCAAATGTCACGGGCCCAAGGGATATGGTTATGGTCAAGGAGCTGGAGCCCTTACTAATACTCAATRAACGTGGTTCACTGAACATACAACCTGTATTATMAGATAGGATTTTGTACGATGTAAGTTTAGGTTTAGATAGCCGCCAGTATTTAAATAACAATCGTTCAAAACTRAATAGATTTTCATCCATTTCAAACACGAGAAAGTGGCTCCTCGGTACAGCAATTAGTGTTACGTAAATCAGTTCGACGTAAACTAAAGCTTTCATGACGAATAAATATCACACAAGTTAGTCATTGCCGTTCAGATTGTCAGTTCTTTACAAAGAATGATTGTTATAGTAGACGCATCTCATAGTCATTCTAATGCAGTTAACCTACCACTTCCAAAAAGAAATGTGAGTTTAGTCCCCCCCCCCCCTCTTTTAAAATCTTAGTCTTCACTTGTCYTATAATGTATGTAAGTTCCTAAATCTCAGCGCAACGTTTGTATACTTCTCGATGCTTCGCGTATCTATACCAAACATAAAATCGCAAATAACGCCGGGACACCGTTTTAAAAATCATTTCAAAAACGTTCTCAGGAACGACAACAATTTCAAATGATGGTAGAGATTGGGGCATTGGGGAATGTAATCCACGTTCCCGGTATMCTCCTTCCCGCAGTTGTTCATTTTTCTTCCTAGTTCTGGTCCGAGTTAATTAATAACCGACTTTCCGGATATTTTGGTTGACTATACACGCATAAAAGAATTAAAGACTAGGCTCCGGGGAAATAATACAAAACACTTTTGTTTCCCATGATTCTCGTCTTCAACTCTTTTGTGCAAGACCTGATTCAACCAAAGTAACTGAAGTTGGAAGGTTGCGCCTACTACCATAATGAACAGCGGTGTAAGAAACTTTAACAGTAGGACAAGTGAAAGTGTGGTATTTTGGAGCGAGTCGTCAGACGTCCTTTACTGCCTTTAGGTAAGTTAAAAACAAATATAAACTAGACTAGTATCTAATTTGCGTCTTTAAAAAACTCAAATGACATTGTAGAATGTWATGAAATTTGAAATAATAACAGCAGGCTATTGGCCACTGGAATATTAGCACGGCATGTTTACAATTGAAGCTTTTGTTTCCGGCAAACATTATCTGAGACATACGAATCCTGTAACTGAAGGCGTTAGCAGCCATGGTATATTTATCAAGTCAAGAAGAAGCGATGGTTTCTATTGATTAAGAATACAACGTCATGGTTGTCAAGTTCGGCTGCATTGCTCTTGGTGAGAACGAGAAACTATGACGAAATAACTTGACTAGCGGGGTTTCTAGTYATTGTTTGCCATCAGTAGAAGTTCCAAGGAATATTTTSGCTACGAATTGAATACCTATATTATCCATGTTACAGTCACGAATTGAATTAAATGATATTTGAGGGCGTTCACAAGTAGTAATTTATCAGCGATATTAAAACCGTCATGACATCATGATGCTGAATTCAGTCGACTGATGTGTATTAATACAGTTTTTTTTTCAGTTAGATGCTGTATTTGGTGTACATTTTGACAGTATTCTTGTACAAACCAGGCTAATTTATTCATCAATAACACGGCCATCAATAAGACTTGACACATTCAGTTACGGATGGCAAATTATGTAAATGTGTGAGGCGTTAGTAAAGTAAACATATACTGTAGTTGTTTTGAACTTGGTAGATTGAMTGCATATGTAGAGCTACCACTAAACGTTTGTCTTCGCTGGATTTCTTAAATAAGGCAGTTTTGTGTAAATTATAACAAAGTGTTTTACGGATGTTGTGATATCAATTACGTCATAGTTAATCTATTAACAATGATTAAATTAATTGTTATTCAATTGAGCGAATCTACTGTGCATTTRTTTCACGTTTAGCAGAACTATATTACCAGTACTTCAGACGTTTGTCTATAAATTTAGGAAAACTTGTTATGATGTTATTGACTTCTCTACAGGACACTCAGTCTCTTGGGATTCCTGTGTCAATGTAGAAATAGAAAACCGAATAATCCAGTTTCGAATTCTCCAATGCTCTGTGTTAGCCTAATTTGTGCGCAAATATTCTTAATTGTGAGAATAAAAGTGCGAGATTTCAAATCAATTCTTATGTCTTTYTTTTCAAATTCCATGCGTTTTCTCGAGCTATCAATGAAACAAAAGAATATGTTGCTTGGTTTTGAGGCTAACACAGAGCAAACCAGAACTCGAAATTGGAGTATTGCACCGGGTACAAACCGAATACCAGGGATCAGTGGAAGATACTCTAATTGTCCGGTGCCAGATACTGTTGATAGTTAAGGCCCTGAGCTGGCTGCAAGAAAGGGTAAATTCTAAGCTATCGTACGCAGGGTAAAAGCGGAGACGCAAGCAGAACCATAGAAAAACGCGTGATTTTAAGCACCTTTTTTTATTTTCCGCAGTTTCTGTGGTGAACATTATCCGACAGCTATGTCAAACAAGTGCCCAAGATGTGGAAAGTCGGTGTACATGGCGGAAGAGGTCATCGGTGCTGGCGCCCATTGGCATAAATCATGTTTTACATGCAAAGAATGTAATAAACGTTTGGACAGCACAACTTGCTGTGATCGTGAAGGTAAGAGTTTTTAATGCTTGTACATGACCTAAGTATATGACTTTTCATAGAAGAAGTACTTATGCAGCAATTTAAATTCTCACAAAGCACAAGACAAGCGTTTAGTTTATGTGTTCTTGTATGAGATGAAACTAGAGAAAGAAAGTTTGTTTTTGCGTTTTATTTCTGGAAAATTACGCAGATACCCTACTTTTGTCTGTAATGACCAAACATTGTGTATATTCACTTTTTGATG